AGTGGTTTTTATTACAATCTTATACAACTGCAAAAGTGGGAGATCAATGAGGGATGGAATAACTTTGCCCTATCCCAAAAAAACAGGAACAAGATCTAATTAGGTGAGGCCAAGCAAAGAAGGAACCATATAAGTGAATCACAGTACAGAATGAGTGAGTTTAAAATAGTGTGAGAGGAATATGACTGCTAATAAATTCTTACAGTAGGAACAGTTCTTGATTTGATAATCATACTGCTTCTTATCTCCGGACTTTTCTTTTTGTATACAGTTAAGTCCCTGGATTATGGAAGTCCAATTTATGGATAATTCATACTTGTCCTTTAACAGCCAACTCGTATGTGTCTTTATAAAGTTATAAGTTATATCCTCAAGTGAACCATGCTCCCACTCACAATAAATTCTTCGTCACAATCACTTCCAATTCCTGCACATGTAGCCTTTAAATCATTGAAAGACTTTGAGCCTTCTGTGGCTCGAGCCTGCCCATTCAGGGCTGTCCAGTTGATCACAATTCATTGTGACCCTGCAGAACACACTAGAACTGCTCCATTAGGTTTCTGAAGCTACACATCTTTATGGAAGCAGACTGTCTCAACTTTCTCCCCCAGAGTGGTTGGTAGGTTAGCAACTGGGGATCCTTCTTGTACAAAAAAGAACAAAACCCAAACCCATTGTTATTAAGTCGATTCTGAGTCACAGTGATCCTGTAAAGGGTTTCCGATGCTGTAAGTCTTTACAGACGCAGAAAGCTTCCTGTCTTTCTCCCACAGAGCTGCCGAGCTTGTGATGAGTAGTCCAGGACTTGTCCTACTGTACCACCTGGGCACCTTTCATGCACTATGTTGCTATTTTAAGTGCTGTCGAGTTAGTTTTGACTCATGGCAACTCTGTATAGGGTTTCTGAGGATCGGCTGGTGGACTTGAAGCACTGACCTTCTGATCCGTAGCCCACTGCTTATCCTGTAGCACCCGTAAGGCTAAATAAGAACTGTATATGCACCTGTTCCAATTTACTGACAAATTCGATTTAAAGACACATTTAGGAAATAATCTCATAATAATCTAGGGACTGCCTATATAATACTAATACACACAATCCAGCAAATAGCATTTCTCACAATCACATAAAAAATACAGGTATTTTGGGTTCGAATAAAAAGTCTGAAAACAATTCTGTTTAGAAATGGACACTATGTATCTTTAATAAAGTAAAAGTTTCATTAAAAGTATAGTTATGTGACCATTTCAAAGGTTAATTTAAAAATTCTATAGAAATAATGTCCCAATTTTTCTATTTACCAATGTGAACTTCGGTTAAGGAGCCCTGCTAAACTGCAAGTTCTGCAGTTGGAATCCACCAGTTGCTCTGTGGGAGAAAGATGGGCCCTTCTGCTCCTGTAAAGATTTACAGCCTTGGAAATCCTACGCAGGGTTGCTGTAAGTCGTAACCGATTCGCTAGCACACCACCACCACTACCGAAGTGAAACTTTACTTAACTTAAATCAAGGTAGGCTTTGAGGGCTGGCAAAGGTGATGTGGAGTGGAAAACCACAGAACAGGAACCATTGTGTCATTAGCCCTGTGGCTCAGGGGTGGCGTTCTTCACCTCTAACCATGGTACTTAGGCTGGGAGTTCTCTGATGCCTCATCAAAAGCTTCTATTTATAAGAGTTGTTGTTGTTGTTGTTAAGTGCCGTCAAGTCGGTTCCGACTCATAGCGACCCCGTACAGGGTTTCCGAGGGTGTAAATCTTTACGGGAGTAGAAAGCCTCATCTTTCTCCCGTGGAGCGGCTGGTAGTTTCGAACCGCTGACCTTAAGGTTCGCAGCCCGATTCGTAACCACTACGCTACCAGAGCTCTCTACTGTTTTTTCTTGAGAAGTTGTCAAGTTGGTTCCAATTCATAGAGACCTTGTTCAGGGTATTGAAGAGTGGGTTTGAATCTCTGAAGTTGCAGTCAGTACTCCAGTGCTTATCCTATACCGCCATGCCAGGACTCCAAGAAATCTTTTAAGTAGGTAAATATAATAGCTGCTTGATTGAACTATTTTCAAAGACAATAAAACTCCGTTCATGGTATACTTAAAAAATTGCAATAATACATGTGGTAAGAATTAAATATGAGATGGTAACAGTAGTGAATAAGGTAAAATAAAAAGTGTGCAGGGATTCAGATACTGGTATCTAATTTCAATCATATGATTGTTCAGTTATTTAACTGCAAAAGGGTTTCAGTGTCTGCCCCACAAAATCAGAGTTTAGGACACGACAAAATTTATCACCTGCTAGTCACTCTCTCCCTCTACCCTTTACAAATGAAATGCCAAATAGCTTATAGACACACAAACATGTACTCTCTTCCCCCTATTAAGCTGCTTTGAGAAATAGACCCTTTTTTAGATCATTTCTTCTGCCTGGAATGCTGATCCTCTTATCAGTCTGCCAATGCATATATCATCTTCTGCAATAACTCACGGCAAGGTGGGGGGGTAGTGTTGTACCCAATGCTCATCCTTTAAAATTTCATAGCACCCTATCCACATTTCAACCACAGCACTGAATACTTGGTTGATGTTCTTAAGTGCTATCAAGTGGGCTCCAACTTACAGCGATCCTGAATAGGGTTTCTGCAAATAGCTGCTCGGTTTGAACTCCTGACCTTGTGGTTTGCAGTCCAGTGTTTAGTGTACAATGCCACACCAGGGCCCAAATACTTTAGGTTGGGATTAATTATTCAGTCTTCCCTATTGTTGTTAAGTGTAGTCAAGTTGATTCTGACTCACATATACCCTGTCTGTGTAGGGTTTTCGAGGAGCAGCTGGTAGGTTTGAACCACCGATCTTGTGATTAGCATTCCAGTGTTTATCTTACAACTCGACACCAGGAGTTTTCCCTATGAGTTGGCAATTTTTTTGAGGACAGGAGACAGTGTTTTTTAAAATCCCTAATAAATAGTCTATCTGGTAGCATAGTGGTTACAAATCGGGCTGCAAACCACAAGGTCAGCAGTTCAAAACTACCAGCTGTTTCATGACAGAAAGATGAGTCTTTCTGCTCCCGTAAAGATTTACAGCCTTAGAAACCCTGTACAGGGTCGCTATGAGTCACGGCACATAACCACCACCACCACCACCACCTTAGGAAGGTGTCCTGATGTGGTGCTGCAGGATAATGCCCTGGACCGCAAGTTTGGTGGTTCAAACCCACTAGCCGCTCTTCAGTAACCCTAACAGGGTCGCTATAAGTTGGCACTGACTTGAAAGCACTTAACATTATCTTAGGAAATCTTATCCACTTGCCATAGTTTTAGCTAAGTAGATAAAAGTAAGTTGGATTTAGTGCTGAAATGAACAGATTCAGTACCTCTTCATTTAAGGGGTTTTGGTAACATAGTGCTCCCGAAAAGATTTACAGCCTTGGAAACCCTATACAGGGTTGCTATGAGTCGGAACTGACTCCACGGCACATAACCACATTTTTCCACAAGTGCCCATATGTGTTATAAAGTTACAATGTTTAACTTTTTTTTTTTTTTTAATGTCAAAACTGTATCAAGTTTATGAAATTAATTTAAAAACTAGATTTCAGCATAGGAGGCAGACTATTTAAATTTTTAAAAACATGTATCATTGTGACATACCAAATTTAAGAGAAAAGGAAAGTCTTAATTATTTAAGATTACAGAAAATCACAATTCATTTCATGGTTGGGGGATTTGCCAGTTTTGTGAAAAATCTATCTAAAAGCATTTTTTTTTTCTTTAAAAGGCATTTCTCATTGCTTTTTTTTTTTTTTTTTTTTAAATCACTTTGCATGTTTGAGAACATATAACTTTAAAATGGGAGATTGGTGCTGACTATCCTCAAATCTAGAATCCATCAAACGTATTGAAATATTCTTCTCTACTTCCCAGATGTCTCATTTTTAATTTCCATGTTCTTAAATGATTAGCTCTGGCTTAGAAAGAAGGAATATTTTACTTTGTCTGTCAAACCCAAACTATCTGACCTTCAAGGCACAGAACAAAATTCAACTTTTGGATGAAATGTGCTGCTCCTGTCACTTTTTAATTCTAAGCAATCTTTGGAAATTAAAAAAAGTATAATATAAAATTTTGAAGAATATTAGTGTTACCAGAGGCACAGCAAGAGCATCTGGCATAACTTGGTATTCAATGAATGAATAAGAGAACCAATAACAATTCCACAGTAAAGATTATGAATGACCCCAAATCATGGATGTTCCTTTGATGAAGTCCTACTCGTACGACAGTTTTCCATCTCCTAATTAAATCACACATTACTTGGCGTAATCGTTCCTAATTATATCTTGGCCTACAAATCTTGTTTTGTGAACTGTGACTATTTCTTTGAGAAGAAAAGTGATCTGACATATTTTAAAATTTAAAACACGTTCTGATATTTTCTTCAAGCTGAGGACTGTCAGATTATTCAGAGGGTTACGAACTGGCTTTCTTGGCATTGAAAAAGATGAGAATACATTACAAATAGGCAACTTACTGAGAAATCTATTTTGCTACAATATACTTGGTAACTACATCTTCTTTGAATTAAATTTTTATTTTTTATTTGTAAAAGTGTTGATATTACAAACACAGTTCTATTTTCCTGGTAAATATCCCTGAATATTCCCTACCTGTCAGAAGGTGGAGCTCTAAACATATCTGAAATACTGGCTTTCAGATGTGTGCTTCACAAATGTGGATAATGAGGAGATTAAAGCTGGAGTAAAAGTCTTTAGAAAAATGGCTCTGAAGGCTATCCCAATTTTCTCAGGAGAAAACCACCCATATTTTCAAATATGTACATGACTAACTAATAAAAAAGATGTTCCTTTTAAGTTTCAATACATTGCCTACTACAAATATTTAAGTGTACATAAATCAGAAAATAAAAGACAAAAAATATTCAAAAGGTAAGACACTAAAACAGTTAGGTGCACCTATTTAAATGTAGGCAAGGTCATTAAAACTCACAAGCATCTCTGATGTACAGTAACATGGCTATGAAGATATAGTCGACTAAGCTCAAGCTGAGGCCGTCGGCAAACAAGGCATCCCAGACCACCAGAAGGTCCTGCAGAGGAAATTCTCGTCCAAACAGCAGCCGCACCCACCGCCTGAAGAGAAACAAAACAGAAATCCAGAAGATTGTTCTTTTGAGAGAGATTTAAAGAGTAATCAGTTGCTCATGTAACTGTAAAAAAAAAAAAAAAAAAAGGCAATTCAGATAACTGATACATATAAAAATAGAGTACAATAAAATCCTGAATTTTAAGCTTTAAGATAATTTTATAATTCTACAATTAAGATACAATTATTAAACTTTCTTCTGTATGTATAAAACACAGATTTGATCCCAGAAAAGGAAATAAACCTTTGCTATTTAGTATGAATCATAACTGTGAAAAGGATGTAGAGAAAGTGATTGTATAGCCGTCTGGTAGATGCCTTTTACATGTTGTTATGGCTTAAACATGCAAACTACCTAAATTTCATGATCCCCATTCTAAAGGCATGTTTATGTAGCGCTTTTGTCCTTGTTGTTATTGTTAACTGGCCTTTTGCAAAGTTTAGCAGACAAATCACTATAGTCAAACTTAGAAAACTGGATTCACACATTTCATTCCTATTTAAAAGCTTCATTTTTAGTTAAAGGGAGGGGATAGGAGAGGGGACAAAATATAGATAGTTATTTTTGTCACATGTAGTCATTTATTTTCAAACTAAAAATACAGTGATATTTAACATTTAGCTTTAGAATATCCTAGACTAGAGAGACAATCTCTCTAATGATGCTTTTCAAAAACATACTTCACTTCCATGGTCAGGAAAATAGTTACCTATGTCACAAAACAAGCACAGACAGCTAATGAGAATACTAAACAAGGTAGTCCTATAATTACATATTTTAAATTGTGACACTTCAGACTTTCAATAAATGTAATCAACCTATTTATAGCTAACCTTTTAATTAAAAGAATTCTGAAATATTTGTATCTATTTACTTCCAATTTTATATAACATGGTTAGAATTTCCTTACTTAAGTCTTTCTTTAGGAACTCAAGAAAGCATTCTATATGTTCCTGGCACACAGCACACAATAAAAAATTTGACATTCTGAGTATCTTTAAAAATGCTGAGATACCTTTAAATATTAGTTGAGTATCTTTAGCCATTAGTTGAGATATTCTTGGTTTCTTTGCAAAATTTGAAACCAAAATAACCATCTGTGAGGTTAAAGCAAGGCCAGAGAAAAAAATTCCAAACATTTTTTTTAGGAAGAATGACATTTAAGGCAGAATCAAGAGAGCTGTGACAAAAAAGTATATATTCATACATGTGTATCACAGCCTACTAGGAACCATGTAATCAAGGGTTTAAATTATTTTATTGATGATAGCAAAATAATTTTTAGAAAAATTAGGTTGCATTTTCAACTCAATTTTATGTTATTCAATTTTTCTGAAACAATGTCTAAGTAAGATTTTTTTTATAATTGCTACATTAAATTTTGCAATTTTAATCTACTGTTCAATTCTTGCCCTACTACTAATACAAGGGGTGACTAAGAACACATACACTTGTTTTTTTGATCCGATATGCCCGTACTTTTGTGGCTTAGGAGAAAACAGTACTTTTGTACATGCTACAAATTCCTTCATATTAAAAATGCTAACATTTATTGTTCTTAGAAGAATAAAAACATCTCTACATTTAACAGATTGCACTTCTTAATTACAAAGAACTCATTGGTCTTGCAAATAGTGTCAGGGGAGCAAAAAAGTACATGGGTCGAACCATTTGGGTACCTGTTTAAGAGGACTTTTAATTGACCTGCACTTCTTAACTAAAACAGAATGGTTATTTAGAGTTATTTGTTGGAACAACTGAAAGAAAAATCTATCAATGAATAACAATATCTGCTGAAGGTTAATACACAAACACAGCTCAAATCCCTCTGATTTTCCTATGGACAAATACATCTTTGGTTTCATCACAGACAGTGATTCCAGAGAAGAACATGATAAAAACAGCTTATTTTTATAGAAATAATTTGCACGCCTATTATTTTTACAATAAACTGCCCAGCTATTGCTCAAACTTTGCTCCTTTTCTTGTAACCTCCATTATGATTGGGATTATGTTAGTTTAGCTTTAAAAATGATGCTGTAGGTGCATACCTGCAGCAATCTTTACTGCAGCCCTGGCAGGAAGGGGAACGCAGGCATCTAATCACCTACACTGAACAAAATGTAGCAGATCTTTTATTTCTATGTCAAATGATTCACATACTTAACACCTTCAGATCTGGACAGAATGTAAGTTTTCAATACTTTTGTACTTTATCTGTCATCTATGATGTGCAGCTTCATTCTTAAAGTTTCACCTGGCCAAGTACTCTGGTAAATAAATCCAGGAAAAGAACTAGGGCCCGACTGTGTGTATGTGTGTGTGTGTTAGAGAGACAGAGGGAGAATACACAGAAGGTTCTTTGCAAAGAGCTATATGCACTTTGGTACATGTGCTATGCATTGACCAAGGTCTTGTTAAAAGTACTGTCAAGCCACCTTTCATGCTACCATGAAGCACAAGTGTTGCTAAATTGGAAATTACATGCACTGATCTTGGTAGTGGCCCTACAAGATCATTTCAGGAAGAAAAACAAAAACCCATAAACACATAAGAAAAAAAAATTTTTTAATGCTTATCGTGTTTCTTTCACAGAAGACTGTTAATAAGTTTTATATTCAAGATTATTGTACTAAAGCAAAATACAGTTTCCCCTATTTTATATGTAATTACAGGAAAATTAAGGCCAAATTCTCAGAATATTTAAGATGTACTCTATGACTAACCGAATGCTTTGGGACCAACAATACCCTTATCAATAATTTAATCCTTTTATCCCAATTGGATTT